TTTTTTTTTTTTTTTTTTTCCATTTAGCACTTGCCATGCCTGATAGCAGAATAACCAAAATCCAGGTAAATCCAGTTTGCAGAACATCCCAAATCCCTGCAGAGCTGGAACCAAACCCAGCCACAAGAAATCAGATTTATTTCATTATTTCCAAGCCACCTCCCAGTTCCACCCCAGAGCCTGCTTAGGTGTCCTGTTGGAATCAGCAAGTCAGGAGTCGGAATTTTTCAGAAATGAGAGTGCAGGGATTGAATTAAAGCCTTGGGATGGATTGAAGGATGTTAAGCCACTCACACAAAGAGGTATAAGTTTAAATTTCAATATAAGCAAATAAGAAAGTAATTAAAATGAGTTTTAAGTGTTTTTAGTAAGTAAAGGTCTTAAATACCAGCGTGGTAGTACATGTTCTAGTAAAGGTTGAAAAACACAGTCTTAGATACTAAAAGTTCCATGGGGGCTCCAAGAACATAATTTTAAACACAATAAAGCTATAGTAAGAATATTGCTTACATTTTTCAAATGGATCCAGATAGGCCATATGTATAGTTTATACGTGCTAAAAAACTAAAATTCTAATAAGTTTAAAAGTATTGGCCTGAGCTTGTGTCTTAGCTTGTTAAAAAGTTTCTATATAAGAATATGCATTAAAAAAAATTAATACATTTTACCATTACATTTTGCCATTACATTTTGCCATTACATTTTACCATTACATTTTACCATTACATTTTGCCACTTAACTTTTTATGGCGTGTGCTCTTATACCAATGTAAAATATAAATTAAAAAATTATTTTTTAATACAGAATTTATGCTTTTTAATGCAACGGTTTTGAAATAAAATATGGAAACTAAAGTTGAGTTTTAAAAATTGAGTTTATAGAGAAATACTGTTTTTTAAAAATATACATATAAAGGAAATTTTGGCTTGAATTAAATATATTTTCCAGTTCCAGTTCCCAGTAATAATATCGGAATTAAAAAAGGATGTAGCCACATAAAAAAAAAAGCTGCTAGGTGTATTCTGAAGTTATTATTTTTGTATTTTACATTGCAATAAATACTATTTCTGGATCAAGACAGAGTGTGGATATATCCTGAGTACTTGGCAAGTTCCATCTACTTCCAAGTGGAATTCCAGTCTCTTTCCTGTCTTTGTCTATAATATGAACAGCATTCAGCACCAGAAACTTTTCTGCCATGCAACAAATTGTGGGATCAAGGACTGGCCAGAAAGGGAATTAGGTTAAAATATCAATATTTTAGGGAATTCCTAGCTGGAATGTGTCAGACTAACCCTGTGTCCATAGGGAAGGAGCTTTCCCTCCTCCAGCTGGGCACTAAAACCTGGGAATTCTGTGGTCACTGC